TTGCCCCCTTAGCCCCGGGCAACCACTGTCTGTTTGTTCTCCGTTTCCATCGCTTTGCCATTCCAAGGGTTTTATGGTTTTATGTAAATGGAATCATATATTCTGTAACCACTGAGCATTGCCGTTTTTCACACCAGGTGATTCACTGGAGACTCATCCAGGTTTGTGTGTGTGATGTAGTTGATGGTAGGGATGTACCACAGATTGTTTTACCATTCTTCTTCGGAAAGACATCAGTTGTTCTCAGTTTGCGGATATTGCAGATGAAGCTGCTATAAACATCCGTGTCCAGACATTTGTGTGACGATGAGTTTCCGTTTCCCTGGGATAAACGCCCAAGAGCGTAATGGCTGGGTCGTGTATAGGTGCATGTTTTGCTTTGAAGAAACTGCTAAGCTGTTTTCCTGAGTGGCTGTACCAGTTTTGTATTCTCATTAGCCATGTGTGTGTGATCCAGTTTCTCTGCATCCTCACCAGCATTGGGTGTTGTCTCTATTTCTTAATTTAGCTGTTCTGGTAGGCGTGGAGTGATATCTCGCTGTGGTTTTCATTTGCATTGCTCTAATGGCTAATGATGTGGAACATTTCCATGTGCTTATTTGCCATCTACATATCCTCTTTAGTGAAATGTCTCTTCATGCTTTTTGCCCATTTGCTAATTGGATTGGGTTTTCTACTGTTGAGTTTGAGAGTTCTTGATGTATTTTATATATTTAGATAGCAGTCCTTTGTCAGATATGTGGTTTCCAATTATCTTCTCCCAGTCCATAGCTTTTCTTTTTATCCTCTTAACAGGGTCTTTCACAGAACAAGTTTTTAAATTTTTGATAAATTCCAGTTTATCAAATTTTCCCTTTTATGGGTGGTGCTTTTGGTGTCAAGTGTCAGTACTCTTTGCCTAGCTATGGATCCTGGAGATTTTCTCCTACGTTTTCTAACAATTTGATAATTTTACATTTAAGTCTATGATTTATTTTGAGTTAATTTTTGTATAAGGCATGAGAGTTAGACAGAGGTTCCTTTTTTGTTCCCTGTGTATGTCCAATTGCTCCAGCACTATTTCTTGAAAAGGCAGCCCCCTTCCTCCGTTGAATTGCCTTTGCACCTTTGTCAAAAGTCAATTGGGCATATTTGTGTAGGTCTGTTTTGAAATTTTCTGTTCTGTTCCATTGATCTATGTATGTCTGTCTCTCTGCCAATACCACATAGTTTTGACTCCTGTTGCTATATAATAAGTCTTGAAATTGGGTAGACTGATTCCTCCCATCTTATTCTTAAAAAAAAAAAAAAAAGATTGTCTTACGTATTCTAGTTCCTTTGCCCTTCCCATATAAATTTTAGAATAATCTTGTATATATCTACAGAAAATCTTGCTGGGATGTTGACAGCAATTACATTACACTTGTATATCAGCTAGGAGAGAATTGATATCCTAATTATTTTAAGTCTTCCAATTCATGAACAAGGTATGTCTTTCCATATATTTAAGTCCTCTTTGATTTATTTCTTTACTGTTTTATAGTTATCAGCATACAAATCCCATACATGTTTTGTTAAATTTATACCTAAGCATTTCTGGTTTGTTTTTTTTATTTTTGCGAGCAGTTGTAAATGGTGTTATATTTTTAATTTCAGTGTCTTAATTTAAGTTTATTGCTGGTATATAGAAATTGATTTTTGTATGTTTATCTTATATCCTGTGACTTTGCTGAACTCACTTATTATTATAGTTCTAGAAGTTTTTTGGGGGTCGATTCTCTGAGATTCTTTGTCTATGTGACAGTCATGTCATCTGCAAATAGAGACAGTTCTATTTCTTCCTTTCTGGTCTATATGCTTTTTATTTTCCTTTTTTGTCTTATTGCTCTGGCTAGAACTTCTAGAACTATGTCGAAAAAGAATGGTAAGAGTAGAAATCCTTACCTTGTTCCCAGTCTTCAGTGAAAATCATCCAGTCTTTCACCAGTAAGTATAATGTTAAGCTATAGTGGGGGGTTTTGGTAGATGTTATCAAGTAACCCTCTATATGTATTTTTTAGGGTTTTGGTCATGAATGTTGAGTTTTGCCATGTGTTTTCTTCATTCATTAATATGATCATGTGATTCTTTTCTTCATAAGCCTGTTAATCTTGTAGATTACAATGATTAATTTTAAATATTGAACCATACTTACATTACTAGAACAAACCCCACACAGTCATGGTATATAATTCATTTAACATGTTGATCTATTGGTCTATTCTATTTGCTAATATTTGGTTAAGGATTTTTTTTTCCTTTTAATTTGATTGTTAAGGATGTTTTTGCATCTTTAGTCATGAAAGATATTTTTCTTTTTATGGTACTGTTTTTGCCTGATTTGAGTACTAGGGTAATATCAGCTTCATAAAATGAATTAGGAAGTATCCCTTCCTCTTCTGTTTTCTGTAAGACATTGTATAGAATTGGTGGTGTTGTGTTTTTTTTAAAGTTTGGTAGAATTCTCCAGTAAAACCATATGGGCCTG